CCTGTACGAAACCCTCAAGTTAACAATATTTGCTCAAAACACAAACACACAGACGATGCAACAGCACTGGTGAAGGGGCACGCCTGTATAAATCTAACGTTGCTACATTGCATGGCTCGGCGAGTATGACCATATAACTGCAAGCAGACAGTACAATCTTGCGTTTTTGTCAGCATTGACCTTTCGTCCGACCTAGCGGGGTGAATAATTTGTCCTGCAAGATATAACTTGAAAGAAGTTGAGACCTACCCTTTCTGGGACTATCGGCTGTTTTTTCGCGAGCCTCAATCATCCTTAGTTTGGAAGTGGCAGGGGTTGCATCGATCCCTCGTATCCGTTGCGATGCAAAACAACGAGAAGATGGGCGAGGGATCAACAAATTTGCCGTCTCGCCATCAACATCTGTTTTAATCGTTCAACCAATCAAAAGCCGCACGCAATGTGACAAGGAAACGAAAACAGCGCGCTTGCCTCGGTTGCACTTCAGATGGAGTTCGTCCAAACAAGCTGCAAAGTGTGCAGCCGTACATAGGCACGTGCTGCCGGGTCCTGTCCGCCGACCTTGAGACTTGCATGCAACTATCGACGACATGCAGCGGTGACCATCGTAAGACTCAGTTCCCTGATCCGAACGCCATTAGGCCCGAGAAAACAGCCCAGACAAAGATGTAGCGCAACATGACCCTGATGCTAGCGTTCCCTGGTTACATAATAAACCAGGCCGCATTGCATAACATTAGTTTCACCGTGTCCTTCGCGCGAATTAGCCCGCTATTTTCTTTTTTGAAGGACGAGGTGGAGCCCCAATAATTGTGGTCAATTTGAGCAAACTAGCGTACCCACAATTACCCTCCGTGAGATTGTAATAACACTGATATTCGTAGCACTTTTATGTAGGAAACGATAGAAACATGCATCCATATTCCTAAGCATTACTAATTTTTTATGGATATCCAATATTGTACCATGTAAATATAATCGCACATCATTGCCGCATAAACCAACGCATGCTAGCTCGAATGCTAATCGCAAGGCTAGCAAAGAAAATAACACATCACGCTAATACGTGATGCTATGTTGTGAGCCCCAACGAACGGACCGTTGTAGCGATAAACCGCACCGCCCCGTCACACATAACCATAAACAGCTGTGTCACTGTCGTCTCGGCTGTTGGCTTCTGTGCCAATGCCAGTGGCGAGTCGTTCCGCAATGGTTTTATGGACTGGCTTTGAGCCGCGCCGGCAGTCGCCCGTCATCGCCCGTGCCGTGCCTTGACCCAGTCGCAGCGGGCTCGCTCGGCTGCCCCGAGCGCCCCCCCCCCTCTCCGGCCCCTGGGGTGAGGAGCCGTGGGGCGGGGGGGGGGGGGGGCGGGGACGGGAGCCGGTTTGTCGCGGCGCCAGGTGACAGCGGGCCGTCGGACCGCATTGCGCCCCGATGTGGCCGTAGTCACAGTGGGGCGGGGCGGTGGCATGCACTATCGAGGGTTGGTGCGGCGCAGTTTCAGAACTTACGGAACCTCTGGCCTTCGAGCCCAGTAGGATGGCAGACCAGCGGCGTTACGTTACAGCTGGACCAGTTGGGTTGCGCCTTTTACCTGGTGTGATGCTGGCAAAAGTTTGCTTTGAGTGTGGTTGTTGCGGCAGCGTTTTACGCTCGTTGACTCGCACTGGTATGTTGGGCCCACGGCCGTCCTACTCGTCTAGGCTCTGCCTCAATGACATATGACTGTGCCCGCCGTCATGTCTCAGTGAACATCGTGACAGGAGAACCCGATGTCGAAAGCATACTTTCAGAGTAATGTGTGCACAAAGCCTCGCAAACTGCGCCGTCAAGCATGCGCTCCGCCAGAGCGGTAGACAAACAAGGCCCACACTTTCCGTCAGTTTAACATTACAGATATGGCGTTACATTAAAAATCACGCATTTCGATGCGTCATAACTTCAGCCCGGGGTGGCGCGCGGGCGCGGTATGATGAAATCGCTCCAAATGTCCAACTTCCGTGACGCTAACCATGCCTACGCTACAGCGAACTGGTGACAAACACGCATTTCACTAGAAACCTCCCGTTTTTTTTTTTAAGTGCAGAGTTAAGTCATGACGTGGGCCATCTGGCGGTGTTTGCCTCAATAGCGCAGCACATTTATCAACAATTCGTATGATCTAATAGCTGACACCGCCACTTCGAAATAACGCGTGCCTGGAGCGGGGAGTGTAACTGAGCCGGAGCCACTCATGTTCCCAATACACACCCGTTATGTTTAAGTATATAGCTGCTATCTCCGGAATTCCGATTTCTAGGGTTCCAGTATTCATCCTCTCCAGGACCCAATATTCCCTTGTTTCTTAGAATTGCCGCTAATCGTCGGCTCTGCACACCTGGAGCCTGCCGGATTCCTTGCCTTATACAAGATGCTAGGCTGCAAGGTTGTTGCAAAACGACCTTGTGGACGTAAAACGGGATTATTTCCATTTGTTAGGCTTAAGTTACCGTGGATAGTTATGTATCTTGACACATCAAACATAATGCCAGGTAAGAGATTGCAAAAACTTGTCATTGCTTTGTGTTGGCCTCTCGCACCAGCCCATATTTTTCCCCCACGTGTGGTTGTCGCGCGCACCGTGCGGAAACATACTCCCGTTGCGTGTGGGCAAGATGACGGTTTAAGTCTGAGAGTACAATTATTGCAAGGTTTAGGCAGCCCTAGGTACTGCTAAAACTGCCAAATACGCAGTCAAAAAGCCTAAAATACGTGCACTCCGGGACAAGAAATTGCTTTTCATGCCGGGCTACCTTGCTGCGAAGCAAGGCAAATTTAAACTGGCTGGTTGTTCTCTTTTTTATTCTGCATTCATTCTGGGCGATTTTATCGTTAAAGATCACCCATTCAGCGGTTAGTCGAATACGTATGACATTCTGGGAACAGGGAGAAGGTTAACTTTGGTGGCGGTTTGATAGCACGAAAGCAGTCTGGAATGGAATTTAAGGTGAGCCCTACGAACGGATATCAGTGGCTGGAAAAACTCCATGCGGTTTCTATAACAGTGCTGTAAAACTAATAGTCCAACCACGCTATCATACAAAAAGGAATGATGCTCCCCATGATTTCAGCCACAAAAGGAAACGACTGATGGCCAAATCACCATCCCAATGCAGTAAACACTAGCATGTAAAACGCATAGGAGCACATAGAAAACGTCCGTCCAAAAATGTTTTGGATACATTTCAAAAGTAGATGAAAATTGCTCATTACCGAAACCTCATTTCCTTTAAATCGCGCGTTCATTTGCCACGCCTTAAACCGTCTCCAACAGACCGTGTCCCCAGACAGATTCATCTCCTTGCTGTTAATACTGCTCGCCACATTCAGATGATGTCAGTGAGGATACGAGCACATAAATAATGACATTTAGCAACCAATCACGTTTTAACGTGGCCCAGTACTTTTCGGGTCCTGGCCGACATCGTACCATATAACCTACTATGTTTTAAAGGAAATGTTTCACGTCTGAAGGTATTGAAGCACGCATCAGATAAGACGGAACAAGCTCACTCATAACCATTGGTGTGCTTTTTAAATGGAAAAGACTGCGCTAGACACCACACTTTTTTGTTAATTTGTTTCTCAAGCGTCATGGTTTGATTACGCCATCGTACCTTGCGCAACATTAAGAGCCAATTGGCGGCCGTTGTATTCGGAAATCGTGCTCACGAACGCCAGATACTAACTCCCTGACAATTGCATTTTTCTTGGCCTTAATCGCAGCATGACATATGAAATGGCAGAAGCTGGATGATGTTATTATGACGACAAGAATGCTAAGGCAACTTTGAAATATTCTCCCTGATACACCTTTCCCCATTACCGGCAGGATTGTGAACAGCAACGAAGTGTCGTCAGAACGGCTATTTCAGTTCAAAACCCATATAATTGTGATGTGACAGTAGTGCTTGCAAAACACGGCCTGCGCCGTCTTACATAATATACTGGTGTATTACAGCTGATTGCATGACGAAGAAAATGTTTGCTCCGGTGCATAGCGCGAAGCGACTTAAATTCGGACGAAATACCCAGAGCATTCGCGCTTTACCGAGAGCCGTATGACATCCAGACACCCCTGCATTTCGTGTCATTGACAAGCAGCCGCGATGCGTCGGGTTTGAATGCGAGTGAGATTCGATGGCGTCGCTGACGAGATAGCCTCTGGAGCCGTTGACATGGGAAAGTGGGGAGGAGGCACAGCGCCGGGGACCCCGGTCCCCATTTCACCAATCGCGAGAACATGAGCGTAACACAAACTACGTGGAAAGAATTGGCTGGAAACGAAAACAGGCTCACCTATTTTTCGGGATGCACGTACGCCCAAGGCTGAACAAGCGACATCGAATGGACCAGACATGTATATGCATATCTAATGCATGTGTATGTATGGACGATAAAATAGGCATAAAACAAAAGGAGGTAGCGTTTAAGATATTAAATATGCGTGGGCTGGAGCGCCCGAATGCGTGTGCCAGACGGCGCGCAAGAAAAGGTGGTAGTCGTGTGTGGACCGACGTGTGTGGATCGCGACCGATGCGCCCATGTCGCGCACCATGCCAGATGGACACATTTGTCCGTGTGTGACACCCACAGGGGTTGCGCGCTATCTTCCGCACTACCTGACGTGCGACCATTTGGGTCCCTTCAGCTGTCTAGTTATCAGTCCATCGCGTGCGTCCATTGCTTAGTTCGGACGATCTCCAACACGTGCTATCTCCATCGGTCCGTGCGAGAGACATTCGTACACAAGGGGAGGTAACGGCGTACTCTGAGGTCAGTATTCCCTTCTCTGATGCAACTGCAAATGCGCGGACACCGCCGCCGTGACAATGTCGTTCCGCCGATGACTCGCAAGCTCTGAGGCACATCCATTAACAGTGCAAGAAAGTTTGGCACGTGCGTCCACTGACATCCCTGGCTGACGCCGACCGCGTGGACGGCCGCGGCTGGACTCTCACCTGACCGTCATGACGGGCGCGGTGATTGCGTGCCTCCTGTGAACACCCGCTGGGCTGACTGAGGCCGGGGCGCCACGCTGGGTCTTTATAGCTCCGGCTAGAGGTGCGCACGGCAGGTACTGTATCCAGTGTCGAGCACCTGCGCAAGGCTCAGCATGTTGGGTGAGTTCACCGAGTGATTTCTTTACATCGCGAGCAGTTGCGTGACGTCATTGGGAGTCACTTAGTCGTCTGTCCACGACGGGCACCAAAAAGGCAACCGAGATCTCAGCTGACACATGGTTTGTGCATTAGGGTGCGTCATCAGTGACAAAGCCATATAAGACAAAGAAATTCTTTGGCGCAGGAGTCCAAAAGCACACGGCAGGGCAAAAGTTTTCGCCAAAAACTTAACTTCGTGAGGCTCGAGTCGATCTAAACGCCGTAAATCGACGCTCGGCGTTGTAGTCACCTCATGCTGGACGGCGTCCGCTGCCGCAGGTAACACCAAGCCGTGGGCGGCAAGCGACACAAAATACCTTTGCGTATAGAAACGATGCTGCCGAGCGCTCGTTATGCTGTCCAACGAGAATGTCCCGGTCTAAGGTATAATATGCGGGTCAGACATTGCCCGATTAATTGTTATTTAGTGGAAACTTTATGCGCTGTTGAGTATGAGCTCGTTGTACGAGTATGCTGGTTATCATTGATTTAGACTTTCACTGCTCTAAGACAACTCACGTGATGCAAACACAACTATGTATAGCATATGACTCAGAATATATTGTTTGGTGTGCAACTTAAAACATACAGTAAGTTCTGCAGCCTGTACCACGGACGTAGAAAGGGAGGGGGAGGTAGGGTGACCCCATGCACATCTTGCTAGTTGCCGAGCCTGTGTATCGGATGCACCGGCCCAAGCAGCTATTGCTCAGACTGGAAACCCAAAAAGCGTGTTGGCAGGGATCGCACGGTAGCAGAAATACCTTCGCAGCTGGGCTCCGTATCTTGCCGAAGCTCCAGCTCCAGCTGAAGACGCCATCGGCAGTGCGGCGCTGCGTCGTACTCCTAGTGTGAGCCAGATAGGGCAAGGTGGCCAGCGGTGCCTGCACTTTGTTCCGCAGCTCGCGGTCGGTGAGGTCTCGCAGTGGAGGCTGTGTGGCTGGTCCGTGCCAGGGAATTATTTCGGTGTACCTCACGGCCCCGAAGTTTACCGCTGAGATGGCGAAGACCCAGGGCTGAAGAAGGCCCTCGGTTTGCTGCTCACGTGCGGCGCGACGATGGGAACCACCTGTTCGCAGACCATGCGGTTCTCATCCCACACCATGCCCAGCAGCAGCTGTTCCGGACGGATCCAGTATCCGTTACGCCTGAGGATTGGCTGCACCGTGGTGTATGTGTGCTGCGGCAGGTCGCGGAACAGCGCGATGCTCCGGAACAAGTTGCGTAAGCTAAAGTAGCAGCCACTGTTTTGCCGGATGGCGAACCATACCGACACATAGTGGCCGACCACGCACTGGACGAGGTCCTTGAGAGAGCCGCTGCAGGTCTCGGTAGAGATGTAACTGGGAGCAGACGAGCGGCCAGTGCCAACCATCTGAAAACAAAAGCGAATATATTAGAACAATTCGCTGCGAACTTATCGTTAGATCATACAAAAATTATTGCGCCTGTTTAGTGTACGCAATTATGCTGATATCCAGAGTCCTTAAATGTGACGGAATACATATCAACGAATATGTTAGTAAGCATGAACCAACCATAAAATGATGCGACATAGTACGGCACAAGGTATAATAATAAGTGAATGCTCAGCAGTGAGCACACGAAATATCGGTTAATACTTGATGAACTTTAAACACTCCTTGGTATAAATTCGAAGATAATGCCTTTTTATCTTACCTGATATGGTTCGATGGTGCGATTCGCCGCTGGGCTGCCACATTTCGGACAGAGCTATTTTGAACACCGGATGCCAGAAGGTACATCAGCTGTTGGTTGGTGCTCAGCTGCTGAATCAGGTCGACCGGCAGGTTTGGCACATGCCCCGAACTAGGCTTGAATGCCACAACGTCCCTCTCCCAGACCTCCCCGGCACAGGCCTAGCCCATGAGTCCAGAAAAAAATTTCGATCCCGTGGTCGTGCCGTCCAAGTTCGGCAGCAGATGGTGGAGGCTCAGCTCGTTGCCGTGCAGCTGGCAGATGAACCAGTGCACGGGTGACTCAGTGGCCAGCTCAAACAACCGGAACACGTCGCCTATCGTTTCGGTGTTGACGGCTCTGCCATCGCAGCCGAGCACATTGATGTGACCGTCGCACTGCGGGCTCACGGAGTGAAGCTCGTTGAACAAGTACAGGGCGCGGCCGAACTTGAACGTGAAATGAGTGACGTAGCGACTGCCTGGCTCAGTAATGACAACCACGTGTTTTTCGACGGCATTCGTCTGGCTCCGTGTGGCTCATGTAGCTTCTGCCTTCGTGTCCGTCGGAGTAGAGGATGGTCAAACCTGACCCGCGGATTGCTTCAAAGTTTTAACGAGCCGTCTCCTTTCTTGCTCTGTCTCTTGCGCAGCAGGTCTTCGTAGGATCTACGATATTTGATTTCAAGTAGCCAGTCCGTTTTTGCTGTCTTCTTGAAAGGCGTTGATGATAGCAGCAGCGGCTCGGTTCGAGCCAAAGTAGCTGCCAACCGCCAGAGCGGTGTTATTCAGATCGTTGATGTAATGTACAGTGACATTGGTCTCAACCGTAACGAACACTCGGCGTCGTTGCCACCTTCTACCATGTACGGAACCGTGTAAAAATCCGTGCTCTCGGCTGACTCGCCAGCGCTGAGACCACTTGGTCCCGGAGCAGACTCGGGGTCAGCACTAGCAGCCAGCGCTGTCTCAGCAGGCGGCGTTGGTTCAGCAGTCGGCGGGGAGGGTGATTCAGGTTCAGCAGCAGCCACCGCCTCACTGGCGGCCGAGCGACGTCGCCCCTGGAGTTGCCTGGCCATCATCCGCATCTCGCGAACCTCCCTAGCCACAATCGCATCCTGGTCATGTGACCCCAGGGTAAGCTTCCGGTGCCTACACTTGTTCGTCATGACAACCTCCTCCTGATGCACTGTGCAGGCAACTGGGCATGGAAAGCTGCACTGAGGCTTGCACTTGCATTTCGCGACATCAGGAAGCTTGTCCAATATCGCGGTGGCGGCGTTGCTGTGTCACTCTCTTTCTTTGATCGCTTGCTGATAGCTCTGTTGGATGATATCAATCCCTCTCGATCAATTTTGCCACGTAATTTAGTTTATGAACAGGAATCGCTTCCCTGGCCCACAGTGCCCTGATTTCTACCGTCGCGGTCTTGAATATGGTAGTGAGATTCCTCTTCGATTCGCTCAGCCACCTGATGTAGCTCAATAGTTTTCCGTAGTCCACAGTTGGTGCTGGGACAGTAGAGCCGGGTGGCCTATCACAAGTTGTTTTGTGCGCGACCGTGTAGCCTTCGGCATGCTTATGCAAGTAACTGTTCGAAAGAAATGTTTAAGTACTGGCGAAAGTTAACTAATAAACCCATATATCCACGCAAAAGCACATGAATTGCAAATCAACATCACAAAGATGCGTTAGCATAAACGAGCTTGGACCTAACCCGGTCTGCTGGAGCATTCTCATAACTGCACAGCTTTGAGTTTTACCAAAAAGTAATGTTCTTTACTAAAAAGTCAGCCTAAAAGCTGTTTGGCAATGTCTTGCTGGTGATCTTCATGATATCTATTTCATACTCAATCCACCAAGTACCAGTAGTGTGGAAAGTGGCAGCTTTGAGGCTTGTTGGAGGATGATCCCAGTGCGTAAAATAGGTGGCGCTAGCATCGAATACGGCTTTCCCGCCTTTCAAAGAAAAACTGCTCCCGCCTCACGAACATCGACATTGGTGCGGTGCGACAGACTCGAAAGTTTATCATTAATCCCTGTGCCAAGGAAAAACTTTGTCTCAGCTGATTCCAAGAGATTCACCCCCTCGATGACGCACACTAGTGTGCATATTACGCCCGGATCTTAACAAATGTAGTCTCGTGCCGCTACTGCAAACGAATCGTACATTCAGCGTCATCACGGACGTCATTGTCATCAGCACATGCGCCCGCTGGGCAGGCGCATCAGATAGTTAGACCGCCTGCTGACGCCCATCACCTCCCCCCCCTCCCCGCCCGATCGGTCTCACAGACCTGTCTTGATGTCCTGCACGAAGACGTGCTGTGGGGCACAGAGGGCCTGAGTGAGCCGGCGCTGGCGCTCGGCTGCGGCCGAACTGGAACACAACATCTGCGCGGACGGGCGGCCATCCGCGCGTGAAGTTGCACGGCTCCAGTTATGACTGCTCTAGGCGTTATGGCAGGTCCGGTGATCGAGGGGTGGCTTACGAGCTCCAGGGGACCTCGTTGCCGTCTTCTCCTTATGCAAGTAGCGACAGACGCAGATGGCGTTTATCGGAAGGGCTGGGTGACGCATTCTTCTTCCGCAGTGGCATTCCCAGGTGCCAGACTCTCCTCCAGTAACCGCTGGCCCAACAGGCAGACGGTGACAGACCCGGGTAGCACACAGCGGAAGACCCTGGCGCCGCACTCCTTCTCCATTGTAGATATCGGAGGACCCGGGTGCCCCACTCTCATCTAGCAGCGGCAGACCCAGGTGAGCAGCAGCGGCAAATCACGCTACACTTTCCTCCTCCAGCGTCCACAGGCCCGGGTGCTGCACTCTCCTCTCCCAGCAGCAGCGGCAGATCACGCTGCACTTTCCTCCTCCAGCGTCCACAGGCCCGGGTGCTGCACTCTCCTCCTCCAGCAGCAGCGAACCCGAGTGGTCAACAGCGGCAGATCAGGCCGCCGCACTCTCTTCCAGCAGCCACAGACACGGAACCGCACCCAGGTGCTGCACCTTCCTCCTCCAGTAGCCACAGACCCGGAGCCGCACCCAGGCGCTGCAACTCCTTCCTCCAGCAGCCACAGACCCGGAGCCGCACCCAGGTGCTGCACCTTCTTCCTCCAGCGGCCACAGACCAGGAGCCGCACCCAGGCGCTGCACCTTA